AAACCTTAGCAGACCATTGCCGTTTGCCATATCCAACAGGAGGTGAAGAAAAACCCAATAAAACCAAACAATGTTATTAAATCAAAAATTAAAAACAAAATGAAATACAGGTACATGAAAAACAAGTTCCCAAAGAGAAGAATGGGCCTTTTGTTGCTTATGCAATAAGGACCTGTAGTCATTGCTAGTACCCATAACCTTTAACTTTATGCCTGAAAAGTCTCATTTTAATCACTTAGGATTTAATCACGTGATCTCATTTTCATCACAGTGACTCTAGAAAGTGCAATGATGGCAAGGGGCTTGGGTTCTGGTGTCACAGCAGAACCCGGGGAAGCCTGCACCTCGGGCCTCCAGAGATCAATGGCCAGGCACTGGGGACTGGAAGCCCCGGCACCAGCAAACTTCACTACAGCACTGGGTCCTAAAGGGTCTTGGGGTCACTTGCTGAGATGACTTTTTTTTTTTTTTAACCTTTTTGTTGTCAACTTATTTACTCCTTTGCCAATATTCAAATGGGTAGGCATTCATAAAACAGCGAAAAAAAAAAAAAAAAAAAAGGAAAAATCCTCTAAAACGGCCAAAGAATCTGTTGTACTTTACTTTTTAGAAACCTGGAAACCAGGAGCTCTGACATCTGTGGAAGAGCAGCATTAAAAATATCTACGATAGGCCGGGCTCAGTGGCTCATGCCTGTAATCCCAGCACTTTGGGAGACTGAGGTGGGCGGATCACTTGAGGTCAGGAGTTTGGGACCAGCCTGGCCAACACGGTGAAACCCCGTCTTTAATAAAAATACAAAAATTAGCTGGGTGTGGTGGTACATGCTTGTAATCCCAGCTACTCAGGAGGCTGAGGCAGAATTGCTTGAACTGGGGAGGTGGAGGTTATAGTGAGCCGAGATGGAGCCAATGCACTCCAGCCTGGGAGAGAGAGCGAGACTTCCTCAACCCAGTTCCCCTCAATAGTCACATCTTGAAAAAACTGTAATAGTACAATATCACAACCAGAAGATTGACAGTCATCTGTTTCACTGCATTCAGATGTCCCAGGTTTTACTTGTATTCGTGTGTGTGTGTGTGTGTGTGCATGTGAGAACATGTGCATTTAGACATAAAGCAGGAAAACAAAGTGATAGCAAATTGTAATGTGCTATAAAAAAGTAAAGGTTTTAAAACATGCTGGGGCCCTATTAAATTAGACTGTCTGGGGTGGGGCCTGAGCTTTGGGATACTTACAAGTGATTTTAACAGGCAGCCAGGCCTGGGAAGCATGGTCTTAGCCTTGGAGCCCTGCCCTCATTCATTCTCTGGGGGTCTCACTATATTGCCCAGGCTGGTCTCTAACTCCTGGGCTCAAGTGATTCTCCTCGCTGCCTCCCAAAGTGCTGGATTACAGCAGAGGGCCACCGCACCTGACCCAGTGGCCGCCTTTCACTGTCCCCCTTGCCCAGTCTGTCTCAGACACCCTGGGCTCCGGGCTGTTACCTGAATTGTCCTTTCCCCAAGCTGGGCTGCTGCTTCCCATCTTTCAGGTGTCTGCTTGGACACCACCTCCTCAAAAAGGAGTATTTTACTCCAATGCTCAGGCCATCTTTGGTGGGTTCTGAGCAGCGGTGACCAGGGATTGCCAGTGTGCTGTGGGGTCCCACTGCCCCCATCCATCTCCCAGCCTCGTCTTCACAGCCGTTCTCTGTAGAGATGGGGACAGTGGTTGAGGGGTGCTTTCCATAGAATACAGAGCCAAAGCCCTAAACAAGAGTCCCCCCACCCCCGAACCTCCCAAAGCCAGGGCTCAGCACTCCTGGGGGAGGGAGGGGTCTGTAGAGTACAGGAGAGGATTAGATAAGGCAGAATCACAAATGCATAGAACTCTCCCTCTAGTCTCAGCGTCCCTGGGGCACATCTGACCCCATCAGGCAGGAAGTCTCCACATGGTGAGAGCACACCTTTAACCTCTCCTGAACCCTTTCTAACCTCTCTTCTCACCTTTGATAAGTAAATCTACCCAGAATGGAATACATTTTACTTCTTGTATAGCTCTCTTTTATATATGGACACTGATTTTCTGTATAAGGCAATGATATCCACTTCCCTTTGTAAAGAAATTGGAGAAGTTGATTAAACAATTTTTTTAAAATTTATTTTTGATCTGGGTGTCTCAGGTGGAACATGTTGCCCAGGTTGGTCTCAGATGCCTGGGCTCAAGCAATCCTCCTGCTTCAGCCTCAGGGACTACAGGTTCATGCCTCTATGCCCAGCAGAAGTTGATTTTATGACTATGAAACTGATAGAAACCCGGGTGGTTCAGGGATGCGGCAATATTAGAACAAAGTCTATGTACTGGGTTCAGGTCTGCAGATTAGGTCCTGGCATCACTTGGTTGGAACTGCACACTGCAGTCCTGCTCTCCCCACAGGCTGGAGCGACCTGGGGTCAACTGTTAGCCAGTGGGGCTCACTCTCTTGCCTCTTTGCCAGGGCTCAGCCAATGACTCCCTGCCACCTGTGATCTGTCAACACAGCTCTGAGGAACCTCTTCAGTCCTGCTTCTTAGAGTGGAACTGGGTCCTGACTGCACCCTGCTGTGGGGTGGTTCACCTTCCGAAAGCACCAGACTTTTTGAAGAAAAGCAATTTAAGTGGCTATTTAAAGCAGTATTTTTAGATGAAAAGATGTGGAGCAGAATGCAACATTTACATGCAGCTTAACCTAAAATTCCAAGCTTTAAACTCTGCCCCTGGATCCCAGGGGGGTCCACATGCTGTGTCCTCTAGCTTTGGGGATATGTTGGTGGACAACTTGAGACACTGTCCACCAGTGCAAATGGCGCTGTGGTTTTCTATTCCTAGGGCCAGGCTGGAAAACTCTGAAAATAACAAATGCATAAAGCACTTGGCAGAGCCGGGCACGGTAGCTCACACCTACAATCCCGGCACTTTGGGAGGCCGAGGCAGGCGGATCACTTGAGCCCAGGAGTGTGAGACCATCCTGGGTGACATGGTGACACCCCATCTCTACTAACAACAACAACAACAACAAAACCTTAGCTGGGCATGGTTGCTCACACCTGTAATCCCAGAACATTGGGAGACTGAGGCGGGAGGATCACTTGAGTCCAGCAATTCAAGACCAGCCTGGGCAACATGATGAAACCCCATCTTTAATAACAAAAAACAAAAACAAAAACAACAAAAAAAACTTAGCTGGGCATGGTGGCTCACGCCTGTAATCCCAGCACTTTGGGAGGCCAAGGCAGGTGGATCACTTGAGCCCAGCAGCTCGAGACCAGCCTGGGCCACATGGTGAAATACTCTGACAACAACAACAACAACAACAACAAAATAGCTGGGCATGGTGGTGCACGCCTGTAGTTCTAGCTACTTGGGAGGCTGAGGTAGATCACTTGAGCCTGGGAAGTTGAGGCTGCAGTGAGCTGAGATTAAGCCACTGTACTCCAACCTGGGCGACAGAGTGACACTGTCTTAAAGCAGAATAAAGCTTTTTTAAAAAGTGCCTGGCATGTAGAGAACCCTTAGCACACCAATGTCATTACTCTCCCTTCCCTTGGACCGTGTAAATACCTATTCAGGTCAAGTTCCACCCGGGTTGAAGGCCTGGTCTCTGTCAACATCCATGTGGGTTCCAGTTCAGACTCTTGTTCAGAGACACCCCTCTCTGCACATTTGGAATCAAAGGATCAGCAGGAAAAGATCTGAACTTTGGAGAAGAGGGAAAACCAATTAAGTCCCAACGCATGGAAATGATGCCTTAGCCAAAAGTTAAGACGGCTTGCTCAGTGCAACCTCGATTTGTCATCCTCCCAACTTTCTGAGACTGGGTCTCAGTATATTGCCCAGGCTGGTCTCTAACTCCTGAGCTCAAGTGATCCTCCCACCTCAGCCTCCCAAAGTGCTAGGATGACATGCATGAGACCATCATGCCTGGCCATCCCTCAGTCTTGATGCAAATACTCCTTCATCTCAGTCCCTACCTTCATGCTGTTCAACCTGAATCTGATCCTCTGGGTCAAGGATCCCACTTTGACCTTAGCATCATTCCCCGGTTCATCCACCTGCACAAGCCAACAGCATGGCCCTACCACAGTCTCCTGTCCTCAGGTGTCAACAGGTGACAGCTCAGCTATTATTCCTTGCAATATTCAGCCACTATCATCGATCTGAGAAGGTGGATTACAAAGACTAGTGAGAGCCTATTCAGCATGTGGTGGCCTAGCACAGTTCCTTGAAATGGCGGAAGGAGCTATTTAACTCTTGACTGGGGAAGGAAGTCCAGGGCAAGCTATCCTCCTGCCTTTGAGGGTGGAAAGCATAGCACTGTGGAGAAGCTGAGGTTCATCAGAGCTGGGAACACACCCAGGGGAGCAGAACAAGGAGGGATATTTGAAAATGTATAAATGCCTGTGAGGCCAGGCGCAGCGGCTCATGCCTGTAATCCCAGTACTTTGGGAGGCTGAGATGGGCAGATCGCTTGAGCTTAGGAGTTTGAGACCAGCCTGAGCAACACGGTGAAACCCCATCTCTATTAAAAATACAAAACTTAGCCGGATTCAGTGGTAGGCGCCTGTAATCCCAGCTACTTGAAAGGCTGAGGGACGAGAATCCTTTGAGCCTGGGAGGAGGCGGAGGTTACAGTGAGCCGAGATCCAGAGTGAAACCCTGTTGAAAGAAAAAGAAAGAAAGAAAGAAAAAACACAGAAAGAAAAAGGAAGAAAGGAGAAAGAGAAAAGGGAGAAAGAGAAAAGGAAGAAAGAAAAAACGCGTTAAGTGCGTGTTAAAAAGTTTACCCCGACTCTTGGTGGCCCTGAGTGACTAGAAAGCCCCGAGTCAGGGGCACAGCATGGTCAGCTGCACGTCTGTGCCAGACAAAGGGCAGCACCCAGGAACTGGCAGTCGGGATTAAGAACGAGAAGTAATGGTGGCTTAGGGAACAGAGCTGTATTTATTTAAGGACTAGGCAAAGATCCAAACCACTTTAAAAAATTTTAAATCAAACACTTTATTTCCACATAACAAGCGCAAAAAACTCCCAAACACTTTAACAATACAAGTAACGCAGTTATGAATTATATACTACTCAAAGCCCCAAGGTCAGAAGGTCAATCAGCTTAACGCTCCAAACATTTCCAGACATGGTTTTTCAAAGCTACCTTTGGTTTTTGGAAAAACCAGTATGGAAGTCAATATACATTGAACGCACTGAATAACATTTGCTTATAGTAAGGTGTCCGACAACATTAGCTTACACCTGGCAAGTTGGAGCATGATCTGAAGTCATACACTGAAATCCATACACAGGTTTCGCCCCCGAGCTCCTGCAGGGAGAAGCGAGGGCCGTGAAGGGGGAAGAAAAGGCCAGTCCGGGTGTGGCGTTTCTCGCTTTGTAACAGAGGTATGAAAGTTTAACACTAGTACACTGTCAAGTCATTAAGCTTCATGGTTCCACATGGTTTCTTGCTGAGGCTTGAGATGGGCACAAATGGTGGGGAAGATGAAGTCACAGAAGAGTTTTGAGCAACAAGATCCCAAAGATGCTCAGAGAGGGTGGGAAGGAGCAAGCTACAGTTTCCCATTGTTCTCACATTATTTCAGGGTGAAATTGTGATGAGTTCAGATAAAATGTTCAAATATTTGCTTAAATTTTTAATCGGTTGCTCTATGAGAACCCTCATACATAGCAACTTTGAAACTTTCATTATAAAAAAGAGCCTACAAATAAATTCACAAAAAGGAGACAATTAATGTTGAGCAGCCAAAAAGTCATGGTTTATTATATCCGAAGAAATTTCATAATTCAAACACAACCAAACTGTACATTTTACAATCACATTCTATTTGTAAACAGTTAAAAGCCACTGACTTCTTTTGCATCTTAGGACACAAACAGTTAGAATCAAGGCAATGAAATGATGGCAAATTCTGTACTGTTAAAATTTTTACCCTTGTTTAGTCTCTCTTCTTTGACTAAGCAAGCATTATAATACCATTTGTGGGCAAAAAAAGGGGGGGAGGAAAGAAAGTTTAAAATGGTGTAACTCGTTAGTTTGCAACAACATTTAAAATTTTCTTTATACAACAAACAACTCTGTAAGCCCAATACCTTGGTTACAGTATGCATAGTTACTGATTTCGGCTTTAAGGTACAACAGTTAAACATTAACACAGTCACAAGAGAGCAGAAACATATGGAGCCACTTGATGGGATTACAAAAAATTATTACCTACTGATTATTAGCAAACCATCATCACTCACTAATAAAAAGACAGCATCTGAAAGCAGAATGTCAAACTCCAGCTTTAAGCGTTTTTTTGTTTTTTCTTTTTTCTTTTTTGGCAGAGAAAATTCTTTAACAGAGCAATATGTAGGATCAGTGCTAAAAGTTGGGGTTTTTGTTTTTTCCTATAAGAAACTACAAGGAGTTTTTTTTTTTTTTTTTTTTTAACTGGGGAACTGGTTTTCCTGAGAACCATGCTCTTTGATTTGGGACAGGAATAGAAAAACAAAAGAACATGGCCAAATGCTGCTCCTTTTTCCCAGAGATAGAAAGCATCTTTTAAATCATCCTCCATTTTTTTTTTGTCTTTTACATTTTTTTTAAATGATGGAAGAGTAAACATTTTTTTCTCAAAAAACAAACAAAAAAATCTGTAAACAAGAAGGTTCAACGTGGGAACCTCCAAAACAAAATGGAAAGCCTATTCAAAGTGCAGGGCCCGTCCTGGGTGGCAGGTGGGCTGCAAGTCACAGCTGTGGCCACAGTTTTTCAAACTGCAGAGCGAAATTCTTTAGTTTTACAACATGAAAAAACTGGTGCAACACTTTCATTAATAATCCTAAGTCAGTCCTAACTTGATCTTTTAAACTCCACGATACCACAATAAGGTAGGCAACATCAAGGCATAGTAGAGAGCGCACGCCTCCTAAGAACACCCTTGAGTAAACATTGACACTGGGACAGCTGCCCCCATACTGCCGATGAGACGGAGAGAACATCATTCAGTGCAAAGGGAAAAGCTCATACGGTATCAGCCCAAAAAATGGTTTTGCAAGAGAGAAAAAAAGGGGAGGGGAGGAGGAATAGAAAAAAAAAAAAAAAAAAAAAAAAAGAATCCAAAGGCTAAACATGATGAATAGACACAAGCGAGCTCATTCTCTACGGTTTAGCATGTATGGCGCTATTTGGGAGTGTAAATAGAGTAGATACCTTTTCACATTATAATATTGGCCTGCATGATTCAAGTATTCAAACTGATATGTTTTGGGGAAAACAAAGTGGAAAATGTGCAGAGAATAGCTGTTCCCACAGGCGGCCCCTGGCTGCAGGCGGCGAGCCCCACTTAGTGCTCCTTTCCCTCGCGTCTGAGGTCCCGGTCGGTGAGTCTGCATCTACACTGTTACATGGACTCTCCACCCCCACCCAGGTGGTCAACAGAAAGAAAAGCGTTAATGGGAGATGGGCTGCTAATTCCTCGGGGGTCGCTGCTGCTTGGAGGACCCCACAGGCTTGTGGAATAATGCGGGGTCCCCCAGAGTGAAGTGCCGTGAAGGTCTCCACAGTTAGTTCCCGACAGCCCAGCACCATTCCAGTGATTGAGATCGGTCCGGCTGGAGAATGAGTGGGAACAGTCGAGGGAGCCCAGCCGGCTCTGGCTGGACCCGAGAGACTGCCAGCCGGGAGAAGGGGTCAGAGACTGGCTTTGTGCAAAGAAACGACTGATCTCCTCTTCACTGGCAAACTCAGCAAGAATAGTAGTGTTCCCCAGTACACACCTAGAGGAGAGAGGCACCGCAGACACATGAGGACAGCGCGCCAGGCGGGCTTCATTCACTCACAAGTGAGGGTGCAACTTGTCTCTGCTAGAAAAGCCACAGAAGGCGCAGAGGGAGAGACCACACCACATAACCTGAGCACCCTCCCTTCACCCGAGCGTGTGCGCACAGCTCTTCAGGACCGTGCCTTGACCAGAGTGAACTTCCTGTGTCTCCCATGGGCAATGTAAAGCACTTTCTAGGGCCATTTGGCTAGGTCCGATTCCCCGCTTAGGAGTGCTGACCTTGGAATCAGGGCACTACTGCAGCCCACAGGAGCCACCCACACAGGACCCCGTGCGCTGCCCCGGGCCAGGCTGTGCTCCCACACAACTCCTTTCCCTAGACTCTTCCAACTGGGAGCCCAACAGCCAACTTACATGTGCAGAGACTTTTGTGCCTTCACTACCTCTTCTTTTGAACTGTAGCGGACCAGAGCATTTCCGTGAGGGAGGTTCAGGTGGAATGTGATCAGTGGGCCGTGCTGCATGCACAGAGTGCGCAGAGTTGAGCCATCGATCTAGGAAACGGTGTGGAAACCACCAGTGAGAGGCATCACCGCGGGCCCTCCAGGAGGCCGTTCCAGGCTGCACTGCTGCCCCTCCTCTCTTCCCTGAGGCTCTGTGCTCCTGGTACCACTCTTCATTGACACTCTGATGTTGCTCTGACGATGTACAGAGCCACCTTCCCCACCTCCACTGCTCTCAGAGTCATACTGCTCCGGCCTCTAGACTCCTGGACACTCCCCAGAACCCCAATTCCTTATGAAGCACTGCCCCTGCTGTGTGGCTCCACGTCATCTCTCTTCCCTGCCCTGAGGACAGCATCCATCAAGGTTATGCTTCCTGGGGGAGGAGGGAGGTGGGAGCTCAACACCCAGCCTCCAGAGGAGGGGGCGGGCCAGGGGCTAAGAAAATGCTCTCAACTCGGGGACAGACCAGGGTTTCTCCACGTGCCAACAAGGATCACCTGTGTCAAATTCATCTGCAGGCCCTCATACAAATGCAGAGTCCCAGCTCCTAGCCCAGATCTACTGACTCAATCTCTGGACGAGGCCTGGGAATCTGTATTTTTGTTTGCTTCCTAGGCACATTACAGCGTGAACCACCAGATTTGACCACATCCTGCCTGAGGTCTACAGACCACTCCTCTGCCAGGCCTCCCTCGTCTCACACCCAGACCTGAACCTCTGTTCCCATGCTCCCTGGCGTAGCCAGGGTTTATAACATATAAACCAGTGTTATCTGATATCCTTACCTGAGGTGTAAGGTTTTTTAGAACAAGCCAATTTGTTATTCTCCCTGAGCTGCTCTCACCCCAGCTGGAACCTAAGCAAGGAAAAAAAGGACAAGTCAGTTTTCCAGGACTGAAAGAGTCCAACTATAGTTACTCAGCAGATCACTTGGTCTCTTGGCTTCCTTCACATCCTTGCACCTCTACACTGGAGGCTTTCTCCCTAGGCCCAGAATTTGAGTTTGCCCTAGCCATGGCGAGGCATTAACTCCCACGGCAGGGGGCTCTGCCTCTGGGGAGAGTGAGCTCAGAATGGCTCCCAGCTCACCACACAGGAGGGCAGTGAGCCACAAAAGGCTGCATCTCTTTGAGATCTTCTCATTGATAGGAGCTAAAATCATCTCAAACGGTACCATCTGGGGAAGACTTCAGTAATGTCTGGTCACTCTGCATGTGTGTCCTTCAGGGCATGAAGCTTTAAGGGGATTCCAGAGCTTGCGATCGCACAGACGCTCCTTGTTTTCACCTGGGTTACCGCAGGGGCTCCCCATCTGGTCTCTACTCTGGATGAGTACAGCCCTCATCCCCGACCCCATCTACAACCCAAGGCACCTCACAAATGCTTCAGGTGCTGGGAAAGACCGTTCCATGACACAGCTCAGGCCTATCCACCTCTCACATGGAATCCTCCCCACGCCCTGCAATCCTCTCCTCATTCCATCGGGAGCCTTTGTGCTTTCTCAGGTGTCTGGGCCTTGGCAGAGGCTGCCCCTTGGACTGCTTGGCTTACTCCTACAGGTTTGCTGATTCCACTCAACTGCACCAAGCCTCTCTGGGGTGGGCTCCTGGGCCACGTTCACTAGCACCCCTCGCTGTGTGCTGCCAGTCTCTTAGCTGGCATCCAGACAGACGTCTGTGGCCTGCAAAGACCACTCACACCACACCAATTACGTTAACTTACATTCAGTAGCTTGGCATGTACTTTAGTGTTCTTTTCCTATAATTAACCCCCACCCAAAGGAAAAGCTGCAAGTTTTCCTACAGCCAGTCACTTGTCTAAAGATCAGAAATTACACATTTAATCAGAAATATCAACGAGGTTTTATTACTCATTTTCAGCTTGAAGATGGGAACGTTTGGTACAGTTTGCATGCAAGGTAGAGTGAAGGATAAGACTGTATTTACCGGGGAAACTGCTAGGCTCATCTGGGGCTGTGTGTGTATATGTATGGTGTGGGAACGGCACAGGCAGGAAATGATGCCAGTACAAATCCAATGTTAGTCATTTATAGAATGAGGAGAGGCAGAGGAACCAGTTTGCCGGGGCCTTCTGGCTTATGCCTGTTGGCTGCGTATGATTAGTCTTTCACTCTAATGCTATGATTAGCACCCTCTTTCACTCTCAGATGTCCTCGTTTAATACAGGCCAAGCTACTCCCCTACTCTTCAAGGCCCAGATGACCTGTTCCCATGTTCCCAGACTTGCCCAACACTGCTTCTGCTCCATGTTATGTGTTTTTTTTCTGCCACGAGCAGGAAGTTACTACACATTTTAAGATGTAGTCTTGAGGAACTTCTGAGACAATGGAGCTTCCCAATGCATTAACGTTACTGCGGCCTGTTGTTTACCTTTGGGTGGATAATTTGTTTACTGAAGTTCTCATTCCCCCTGATGGAGGTGAGGCAATAGTTTACTGTTCAGGTCTCTGTTAAACTCGACTGTTGGCACTGTTAGCGTTTCACAAATAAACCACAGAAAACCACCTTAGGTACTGCATCTTACCTGGGGTATATCTGGCGTCAGAATTTCCCCATCCTCCACCTACACGAAGGGGAGAATTATCCCACGTAGACAAGGGTGGCTTCTGACCAGTCAGTCCCGGAGGTGGACGGGACGGAGCAGTGATGTTTTTAGGTGGCAAAGGGACCTTCCACAGCTCATGAGCCAGAGAGGTGTTTGTAACTGAACCAGGAGACCATGTCAATTTGGAATCACTATTTCTGGCTACTCAAAGGGGGAAAAAAATGGAGAGGGGAGGAATAATGTTTAAGAAATGAGGAAATTTAAATAATGACATCTATTCTCCCACAAAAAGCAAATCTAACAAACAAAAGAAACTATTAAAACCCCCAAATCAACTAAACTGCCAAAAAAGAAAATCAGCCCAAAGGAAACTGCTTTCCATCCCTCCAAACACTCAAGCCATTGATCTGTTATTAACAGCTGTAAAGACCTATGAAATTCTTACGCCAGTGTCCAAAACTGTACTCGAACTGAGATGGGAAACAATCTGAATTGCTCTAAAACTGCAATTGTGAACTTCTTACTAACCATAATTGAGTCACTCAAGAAAGTCAGGTAGGCCATTTAATTGAATTTTAGAACTCTGTTGTTTACTCAAGGAAAAAAGGACTGCAAAAGAGCCCCAACTTGGGAGCTGCCAAAGGAGATCTTCACAGGGTGCCTGCCTCTCTGTGCTGAGCATTGGCTGCTGGGCATCTGGCATGCGCTGTCTGTGGTCCTGACACAGTCTACTGAGGACAGACTGGGTAAGTAATTTGCCTATGGGTCTAATGTAGAGCCAGGATTCAAAACTAAGCCTGTAGGGCAAAAAAAAAAAAAAAAAAAAAAGAAAAGAAAAGAAAAGAAAGAAAAAGAAAGGGAGGAAGAAAGGAAAGGAAGGAAAGAGAGAGACAGAGAAAGGAAGGAAGGAAGAAATAAAAAGACAGCAGGCCCAGATCCTGACGCATACTGCCTCGCAGCAATGGAGACATGAGTGGGTATGCAGGGACCAGGTATACAGTAAACTACATCAACTATCATGCTAAAAGCCTGAGGGGGACAGCAAGGAGTGGAACCATTCCTATCTTCCATCACTATCAACTGTTTTTCTTACTTCATTTACAAAGTGCGTGTGCATCAGGTCAGTGCTACTCAGGGTATGGCTGGAAGAACACCACAACACAGTTTCATACTAATCTGCTGCAGGATGAGTCCAGAAATCCAGAGTGCGCATGTATAGACACACAGCAACCTGACATTCCTGTAGCTCTAAAGTGTGCCATTATTTTCCTAGCAATTCAGAATTCATGTTTACCGTATTTTACAAAAGTATCAGTCTATGAGGATGGGCAATTTTTTTTTTTTTTTTTAAAAAGATCCTTCGCTGCAGATAGTCTGACAACTAGTTTGGATTAAATTACATTTAATTACAGAGGTGCTGGGGCTCTGATATGAGTGAAAGCTGTTAAGTAAAAACTGATTTTAGTAGGTGACCGCTGGGTACAGTAAGTTTAAAAAGGAACAAGTGATGTTAAAAATAATTTCCCAGGCTCACAAACAGAATCTCCTAACTCCCTGAGAAGACTGGACAAAAGAAGAGAGCATTAAAACAACAGCCACGGCTCTGGCTGTGACCAACCCTCCCTTCTGAGCGAAGGCGAGGCCCACCTGAAGTGCTTTGTGCTGTACTGCTGAGGGGAACGTTGTAGTTGGAGGCACGAATGGATGACCAGGCACTAGTTGAAGGCAGCGTGGTGTTCAAGGATGAGGATGACCCTGTGTCGGGGAAGAGTCCAATCAGCCACCAGAGCAAGGGACGTGGAGGTTAAGAAAAAGCAAAAGCTTCCAGAGAAATCGAAGCCTAACAGTATGCCACAAGAAAGGAAACAGGCCCACTCAGGGTAAGATGGTGCCCGAGACATCTTCCTTCTTGCCTTCAAAAGAGCATGCTGGGCAAGCTTGCCAACTGTCTCTGCCTTGGCTCAGCACAGGCATTTTCCCTCTGATTTTGTCCTCACTGGCTGTGAGGATGTGCTCTAGCAATGAGGTCCAGCCACCATGACAGCACTCGGCTCTGCTTCCCAGCACTGGGTCTAAAAGGAGGTTCGAGTCTTGGTATTCCTAACTCACCCCTGAGCTCCAGTGACTTCTTACTGGCTATCCTGCTCTCCAAGGCGCCCCATCACAGACACTACCAGTGAACAGGCCCTTCAGTCTTCTCCATTATGCAATATATTCAGGCTCCCAAACCTGGTGTGCCTTCCCATTTTCAAAACCCCCTTGACCATTACTAGTTGAACTCTAGACCCCAACCACCATCTGGATTACTACAGCAGTTCCCTGACTAGTCTCCCAATCTAATCCACTCTGCTCACCACAGCCAGATTACCCCATCTTAGAGATTCTTCCACTCAAAGCCTTCAATGCTCTATTTCCTTTAACATCAAATCCAAACTCTCCTGACTTTCAAAGCCATCGGATCCTTCCATTAACTCCCACACCACGAGAATTTATGCTTGGCTTAGTATCCCCCACAGGGGGCAGAGCTGTCTGTGAAACTCAGCCACTTCACAATGCTGAGGACTCTTCTCCGCTGGTGCAGAGAATTACACGTCTAATGCAACATGGTGGCTGCTTCACATCTGCTTTATAAACTGTGTAAAGGGATAGACGGTATTTTAAAAAGACAGGAAATATTTTTTAATATTTAAAAAATTCATTTCATTAACACTCTTCTGGTACAAAATCATGGATGAAACACATGTAAATGCCTTGAGGTGAAAAGTAACCCTGTGGCAGGTAATAGGATGGTTTTATTTGCTAACCAATTAAAAAGTACATCTGGACTGCAGGGATCCTTAAACTGGTCTTATTCTTACTCTCTGAAAGACAGCCTAATTTGCTCTTCCTGGTGAAAGTCCTTCAATATTCAGAGTATATAAGCTTTTTTTTTTTTTTTTTTTTTTTTTGAGACGGAGTCTCGCTCTGTCGCCCAGGTTGGAGTGCTGTGGCCGGATCTCAGCTCACTGCAAGCTCCGCCTCCCGGGTTCACGCCATTCTCCTGCCTCAGCCTCCCGAGTAGCTGGGACTACAGGCGCCCGCCACGGCGCCCGGAGTATATAAGCTTATATAATAATAATGTCTGTTATAAGAAACACCGATTTTAAAAATAACTATCTTGTAACTCAGTATAAAGTTAGTAACAACCTTCATTTGTTGTTTTTTCATTCCGTTAATACAACCACTGGAAAGCAAAGGTTTGCTGGTCCTTTGTGTTAACTTATTAAATTAATACACATATTTGCCATACTAAGGGATGATAAAATCCTCATCATTTAAAAAGTAGCCAAATTAAAGAGCCACCTATGGGAACAGAGAGAATTCTGTCTGCCATTCTTCTTCTTCTTCTTTCTTTTTTAAAGAGACAGGGTCCCACACTGTGTTGCCCAGGCTAGTCTCAAGCTCCTGGGCTCAAGTGACCCTCCTGCCTCAGTCTCCCAGAGTAGCTGGGTACTACATGAGCCATTCTTAAACTGTGTTGTTAAGTGTCACTCAGAAATTGATTTGCACCTCCTACGTACCACTGTTCCTGTCCCTGAGGTGGTCAACTTCCCGCACAGTATTAATTGAAAGACTGTTTATGACACTGCCAGGAGTGACGTAAGGGTCAGTTTCAGGGTCAATGTTTGGATAACCTTTCCATGGCTCACCAGGACGAAATTCTGGAAATGGAAATTTAAAATTAGTTCAAAGCTTAATCATTACTTTAAAATCCATTAAAAAATATCCAAAACCTTTATTCCTAAATCCTATGCAACTCTCAAAAACTTTCCAATTTATACTAACACTCTTTTTTTTTTTTTTTTTTTTGAGACGGAGTCTCGCTCTGTCGCCCAGGCTGGAGTGCAGTGGCCGGATCTCAGCTCACTGCAAGCTCCGCCTCCCGGGTTTACGCCATTCTCCTGCCTCAGCCTCCCAAGTAGCTGGGACTACAGGCGCCTGCCACCTCGCCCGGCTAGTTTTTTGTATTTTTTTTTTAGTAGAGACGGGGTTTCACGGTGTTAGCCAGGATGGTCTCGATCTCCTGACCTCGTGATCCACCCGTCTTGGCCTCCCAAAGTGCTGGGATTACAGGCTTGAGCCACCGTGCCCGGCCTATACTAACACTTAAGAGGATGGTTCAATTAGTATCATAGAAGCTATTCTTTACAAATAACTTGCAAGTTTTAAAAACTGAAATCATCTCTCATGTGAATATACACACCCACACATATAATATATACACATATATGTGTGTGTGTAAAAAATCATATATGTATGTATGCATGTTTGAGACAGAGTCTTGCTCTATCACCCAGGTTGGAGTGCAGTGGTGCAATCATAGCTCACTGCAGCTTTGAACTCCTGGATTCAAGTGATCTCCCACCTCAGCCTCCCAAAGTGATGGGATTACAGGCATAAGCCACCGTGCTTGGCTGTGATTCGTGTATTTTTTATTTATTTATTTTTTTGAGACAAAGTCTCACTCTGTCGCCCAAGCTGGAGTGCAGTGGCGTTATCCTGGCTCACTGCAAGCTCCACCTCCTGGGTTCACGCCATTCTCCTGCCTCAGCCTCCTGAGTAGCTAGGACTACAGGTGCACGCTGCCACGCCTGGCTAGGTTTTTTTTTTTGTATTTTTAGTAGAGATAGTGTTTCACCGTGTTAGCCAGGATGGTCTTGATCTACTGAGACCTCGTGACCTGCCCGCCGCAGCCTCCCAAAGTGCTGGGATTACAGGCGTGAGCCACTGCACCCGGCCAGATTCATGTATTTTTAAACAGTACCATTTAAAAGTGCTTTAAGCTTTAAGACAAATCACAAAGCTACTGCAACTCAGGTAGGAGAAAGCAGGCCACAGAAGCACTTCTGGTAACTCCATGTATGAATGAAAATACTGTAAGTTACTCCCTGACACAATTTAAGAGAAGCAGTGAATTAAAGTTTTTGTTGCTGTTGTTTTTTTTGAGATGGAGTCTTGCTCAGTTGCCCAGGCTGGAGTGCAGTGGCACAATCTCAGCTCACTGCAAGCCCCGTCTCCCAGATTCACGCCATTCTCCTGTCTCAGCCTCCCGAGTAGCTGGAACTACAGGCGCCTGCCACCACGCCTGGCTAATTTTTTGTAGTTTTAGTACAGACGGGGTTTCACTGTGTTAGCCAGGATGGTCTCGATCTCCTGACCTCGTGATCCTTGCCTCGGCCTCCCAAAGTGCTGGGATTACTGGCGTGAGCCACTGTGCCCGGCCTAAAGTTTTTAATATAATTCTTCATGCTGGTCAATGGGACTCACTTGTACCTCTGCTGCTTGAGCATAAAGGTATAGGTGACAGGCTGACACACTCACTTGCCCAAGACTTCATGCTTAACTTTTCCTCTATCACTTCTGCATTCCTTCTCATCCACACACGTCAGTCTAAGAACGCCAATCTGGGCTACATCAGTATTAAGTCCAGATGTAACAAAACCTTAATGGAAACACAGTCTCATGAAAGAAAGTGTTAGAAAAAATTTTACCTGGTGGCCAATTAACACTGCTAGAGCCGTTAGGCGATTTGGCACGTGGCCAGCCATCTCCTATTGAACCTGGAGGACTGGCTGGTGAAGTACTGCTGTTCATAAAGTCATAGGGAACAAATGGAGACTCTTCCAGCCTGAAACCACTTGAAATAGCACCTAACAAGGGAAGAATAATAGAGAAATGTGAGCAGAATACACAAAGGTTTACTTCTTATAGCTTCTCAAATGTAACACGAACACTTTCCATTAGATCTGTGGGCTCTAGGCTGTGTTCTCTAGAGTAACTCTTTTATATTGAGATTCTAACATCTCATTTGAAGAATGTCTGAAAATGATCATTGTGAATTTCAAGTTTATGAGGGGCATAAACATCATTAAGTGACCAGAATATGAGCACAAACTTATTTCCAAATCATTAAAACAGTTGTATGGTGGAGGGCTCTGATAACTCAGGGGTTTTTTAAGGCAACAAAAATGTTTAAAAATGGATTGCGGTGATGGCTACACAACACCGTGAATATACTAAAAGCCACTGAATTATAAATAAATTATACCTCAATAAACTGTTAAAAAAGAAAGAATGGGGCCAGGTGTGGTGGCTCGCACCTGTAATCCCAGCACTTTAGGAGGCCGAGGTGGGTGGATCACAAGGTCAAGAGATTGAGACCACCCTGGCTAACATGATGAAACCCTGTCTCTACTAAAAATACAAAAATTAGTTGGGCGTGGTGGCAGGCGCCTGTAGTCCCAGCTACAGCTACTCAGGAGGCTGAGGCAGGAGAATCGCTTGAACCCAGGAGGCAGAGGTTGCAGTCAGCTGAGATCATGCCACTGCACTCTAGCCTGGGAACAGGGCAAGATTCCATCTCAAAAGAAAAAAAAATAATAATGTCTTGTTTTCTAGCTTTGATCATTTCATGGGTGGAGGTACAACCCACTGACACTGGAAGGACTGAGTCTGGAAGGGAAAACCAAGTCTCTTCCATTCAAGTTGAGTTTGAGGTCGATGTAAATAGAACCTGGCTTGCAACTCCAGCCGGCCCCCACTATGAACATCCATAACACACAGCCGGGCCCTACATGCCACTCCAGCCCCCATTCTTTCCTCTGGCTTCAAGGCACAATGTGCCAGCATGCACATGGGTAACTCAGGGATGATGGAGCTGGTTCCCGACAGGGCCTCGCACCTCTCACTGGTGGGCACTGACCTATCCCTGACTCAGTGCGTCTCCACAGCTTCCATTTCCCCTTTGGCTCTGGCGTCCTCAATCTTGTCACTCTGATCTGTGTCAACTATGTATCTGTTCTATAAGCGGAATTAAAGCCACTTGGGAGTGAAATGGGACATAAATGAAGTAATGGCTGTACAGGATACATGAGGCAAGCACAACTGCCATATTTCAAGTGATTAATTCTTATACCTGAGATGATAAACATAATTATGTACTTTTTTCTAGTAAGAACAATTTCTACTTATGAAAACTTCATTTAATCAAAGGCAAATAGATATAACGAGGCAGCAAGGGTGCAATTTTATTTCATTAATCAATACAAGGGGAACATCAGGAAAATGAAATGTAAAACCTATGTGATAGGTTCAGTTTAAGCAAACGGAACTAAATGTACAGTGGAGAAATATATTTGTCTTGGAGGCAGGGCACCTGATGAGATAGTGATAAAGGCAGTAACGGCAATGATGGCTATGATCTGCTGACCACTGATGTGTCTAACCCGGTTCCAGCACCTAAGTGCCTGAGATGCATTGTCTCATTCATCCTTAAAAGATCCCAAGAGGGCCACCATAAAAAAGAATGAAATCATGTCTTTTGCAGCAATATGGGTGGAGGTGGGAGCCACTACCCTACGTGAACTAAAGAGAAAATAAAATATTGTATGTTCTCACTTTTAAGTAGGAGCTAACCAATGGATACCCAAAGATGGAAATTATTAATAGACACTCGGGATTCCACAAGTGGGGAGGGTGGCAAGGGTTGAAAAACTACTTATCGGGTAAAATGTTCACTATTTGGATAATGGGCTCATTGGAAGCCCAATCTCCACCAGCATGCAATATACCTGTGTAAAAATATGAACATGCACTCCCTGAATCTAAAATAAAATTAGGCCGGGCACGGTGGCTCACATCTGTAATCCCAGCACTTTGGGAGGCTGAGGCAGGGGGATCACTTGAGGTCAGGAGTTTGAGACCAGCTTGGGCAACATGGCAAAACCCCATCTCTAGTAAAAATACAAACAACTAGCCAGGCGTGGTGGTGCACGCTTGTAATCCCAGATGCTCGGGAGGCTGAGGTGGAGGCGGATCACCTGAGTACGGGAGGTCAAGGCGGCAGTGACCTGAGACTGTGCCACTGCACTCCGGCCTTGGCAATTGGGGTGAGATCCTGTCTCAAAAAAAAAAAAAAAAAAAAAGCCCAAGAGGTACTATTAATTCCATTTGGCAGATGAGGGACCTGAAGTTCAGAAAGGTTAAGTTACTTGCCAAGTACCTAATTACAACCACGTGTCAATTAACAGGGCTACATTTGGAGAAACTAGGCAATTTCATTTTTGTGTGAACATCAGAGTGCCCTTACACAAACCTAGATGGTACAGCCCACTACACAGCAAAGCCCTGTGGCCTCGCCTACTGCTCCTAGGCTACATGTGTGTTAGAATAATTTCTACTTATGAAAACTTCATTTTCTACTTATGAAAACTTCCTAGTGTTAACACACTAGGCTACTGCTCCTAGTGTGTTACTGTACTGAGTAATGTAAGCAACCGTAACAGAAGGGTGTACCTAAACATAGCTAAACAGGAAAGGAACAATAAAAATATGGTATTACAAGCTCAATGGACCCACTGTTGGATACATGGCCCATTGTTTACTGTAACATTGCCACTAAGTGGTGCACGACTGAAATAGCAGAGTCAATTAGTAGCAGAGCTAAGTCTCAAACCTAGGATTCATATTTATTTTGCCATTTCCCCATTGTCTCAACTCCCTGTTCTCACTCTTCAGGTCAGAAAAATTCCCAGCTGGGCCTGGTGGCTCACGCCTATAATCTCAGCACTTTGGCAGGCCGAGGCAGGCAGATCACCTGAGTTCAGGAGTTTGAGACCAGCCTGGCGAACATGGTAAACCCCGTCTCTACTAAAATTACAAAAATTAGCCGGGTGTGGTGACACACACCTGTAATCCCAGCTATACTCAGGAGGCTGAGGCACAAGAACCACTTGAACCCCGGAGACGAGGGTTGCAGTGAGTAGAGACTGCATCACTGAACTCCAGCCTGGGTGACCGAGTGAGACTCTGTCAAAAAAAAAAAAAATGCCAAAGTGATATTCCTCTGAATGGCAAACCAACTTAGAATCAAAGGTCTGTTTGGTTTATGGGCTAATGGTTCCTTCTATTACACGACAATTTTAATTTCTGAAAATCATTAGTCCAATGTGTACAATCTAGAAATCTGACCCTAAAGTTTAGTTAATAAACTTTCAAAGTATAATTCAACAGACAAAAAAAGGAATGTCACAAAAATATTTAAATAGCAATCATAGATTTGAGGCTGCTTAAGCTGGAATCACCAAGTCCTGTCAATTCCACTTCCTCCACAGCTCCTGGATATTGACTCTACTAGATCTACTCCAATTCTCCACACTGCACCTAGAGGCATCATTCAAAAGTGCAAATCTGATCATGTAATCTCCTGGCTTAATTCTCTCCAACACACAAAAGACAATGTTCAAACTCTTCAATAGTTTCAACAGTTTACAATAGTCTTCAATAGTTTACAGTAGTCCAGCCTCGCCCCAGCACTCATGGTTTCCCCTCCCTTCACCCCTGCCTGCCTAACTTCTGTTTATCTTTCATATCTCAGCTTCAGAGATCATAAGCCTCCTAGAAGCCTTGCCCAACTGTCTCCAACCAAGGCTAAAATAAAAAATCTCCTTCTATACATGTCACCAAATTCATCTGGGTGCTGAGGTGAAGGGATTTTATAAACTGCCTGGAAGTCACAGAATCTCAGGGCCATAGGGTATCTCAGATATCCAGTTTAACCCTTCTGTAATGCAGAATTTCCTAGTCAAATGTGCTTGCCTCCACTCCCCTTAACAAATCAGACTTTTCTTACTGTAGGTGTGCAGCCAAGGGTTAGTGTGGCAGACTGGACTGCACATTCCAAAGTGTGCTAGGACTGTCGCTTGTTCAGCTCCTGTGTTTCTCCAAGCTCATGGACTACTCTGCCAGTTAAGAGTGCCTCTGCATGCCTTACACCTAGGCCACTCTAATGATATGATTTACGGTGAACGCCTATTCTTTTCTGCCTGAGACTCGGGTCCATCCTGTATTTGTCTGACCTCTGAGGGGTCTGTCTGGAGGGGGCTGGAGACAGACTAGCTGATCAGTTATGCAAGTGTTTCAGGCTTACACTGCTGAATGAAAGAATGAGTTAAGTGAATTATCAAGCTTTTCTGCTTTTAATTTTTGAAACTCTCTTCAGTGCACTCCCTCTCATGTCCACTGACCTCTCTCTTATCTAGACTACTTTAAGTCTTAACTGCCTCTAGGCACCCATCACTTTCATGTTTAAAATCATTCATGGCACGAAAGTTTTCCATGATTTCCACCACACCTACCATTCCATCTTCATCTACCTCCTTTCTGTCATTTTCATCTTCACCCCCAGATATGCCCAGATACAGAAAGAATTCACCTGGCAGTCCTCTTTGAACCCTGCATGTGCTATTCTCTCTTGGTTGCTCTTCCTGTTTGTTTGGTAAACTTACTCTTCTCAAGGTAAGTCTTTCTCACCTTTCCAGACCCACCACACCTGCAGTTATTCCTGACTCAATGCTCCTAAAGAACTTTATATTATTAAACTATTATAAATATTAACTTTGATATTACCTATTGCATTGTACCAAAGCTGCTGATAGACTTTCATTCACAATGAACAATTTCAGGGCAAGGATTTTTACATACATACATACATACATTCAACTATGAATATGTTATGTACATATGTGTCTATGTATTCCAGGTGCTAACACAGCCTTGGAAAGCAGAAGATAATCAATTAATATTTGCTGGGTGAATGGATAATACTAAATAACATGAAAATGGCATTTCTAAAAAAAAAATGTAACTGCTGAAAGACAATACTGTTAAATCAATGACTTACACATAGCAATAAGATATATAAAGAAAATTTGTCCGTATATAAGGAATTGATAGAAATAAAATTTATGGGCCAGGTGCAGTAGTTCATGCCTGTAATCGCAGCACTTTGTGAGAGCAAGGCGGGTAGATCACCTGAGGTCAGGAGTTTGAGACCAGCTGGGCCAACACGATGAAACCCCGTCTCTACTAAAAACACAAAAATTAGCCGGGCGTGGTGGCTCAGGCCTGTAGTTCCAGTTACTCCAGAAGCTGAGGCAGGAGAACTGCTTGAACCCAGGAGCAGAGGTTTCAGTGAGCTAAGATCACACCACTGCATTCCAGCCTGGGTGACAGAATGGGACTCTGGTAGAAGTTTTAAATGTACTACTAAGATATATATCAAATTAAATCCAGTAAATGTTAATAAGTGTAGTAATATAAGAATAAAATCACTTAGAAAAATTTAAAAAGCCAAAGGGAAAATAATTTTTAAAAATGCATCATCTGATCTCTCCTTTATAAAACAGAGTAGAGGTAAATTTTGCTTTTCATCTGAAAGTCTCTTATTTTAACTGACTTAATAATAACTTTTTTAAAATGAGGAAACGTTCTAAGATAATTTGGCTTTGAAAACATATTTAAAATAAAATAAAGGCCTAAATCTAGTATTCTGCAGGTGTGCTTTGTGTTTTTTTGGGTAAGATTGTTTAACAATCTTTTGTACCATGTTTGCTGGAGTTTTGATCCAAAGATGTGTTCACAGAAATGCTGTCCACTGTCGTCCATTTCCTTAGTCTTGACTGTGGCTCTTTAATACTGTTCATATCCATATTTACATTCAAGTTTGAGTTCAAGCCTGAAAAATTAAAAAACAAAACAAAACCTTAGAAAATACAGCACATTTTCTTTCTAGTAGCACAACTTTTATTTCCTAGAAAAACATGTAACTACTCTAATGTTTTCAAATCATATAACTGTTAATACTATAATTTAGTTATATGTAGAAAATATTTCTCCATAAAATTTTGATGATTTTAAAACTCCTTGGCAAAATAAGAGGGAGAAAAGTTTTAAGGAAGCCAGATGTGTAAGTTTACTTGGAATACAATGTATCTGTTTAGCTATTTCCCAAGTGTACCATGCATGAAGATCTGTGGTCACTTTCAGTTGCTATCTTTTGCTTGCAAATTCTAAAGTAAAAATGTCCTGCACTAGCAATTACACCTAAGTGGGGGACTGATATATCTTAAGGCACAATTTATTTGACCTTTGCTGATGAGGTCCCTCAGACTTGGATACTCTCTTGGAACAACAATGGAAATTTCAACCTTAGATACAGTGGTTACAAAACTATTAAGCTAGTTTTTCTTAAAATAGTAATCTAGGGACTATTAATATTAGAATCACCTAAAACGCTTATTTAAAAATGAAGACTTTCCAGTGGGAGCCAGAATCTCTATTTCACAAATTCCCAGGAGGTTCTTATTCTAAAGTTCCAAATTAAATTGTTTTAAATTCTCTGGTCTGATGAGTCCATGTGATGTTAAGGTCTGTCAAACCTGAAAACTTTAATAATATGAATTCTCTAATACTATACCTATTTTCGCAGAGAGCAATTAAATTTGCTACTCTTGGACCCATCGATCAGATCAGGAGTTGACAATTTTTTTCTGCAGAGGTTTAGCCGGTATCTCAGGCTCTGTGGGCCACATGGTCCCGGTGTCTCCATGCAACTCTGCTGGTGCAGCACAAAAGCAGCCACAGACCCCATGTTAGAGAAAATGTGGCTGTGTCCAACAAAACCTTACAATAGCAGGCAGTGGGCCAAATTAGGCCAACAGGCCGTAGACTGTTGCTCAACTTAGATAACTGTATCGGTGTTTGCATGGGCTAAGCAGACTTTCTTAATCAAGAAGTATCCCTCACTGAAAAGCCGGCCAGGGCAGGAAATCCTATACTTAGAACTCACATGGTCCAATTTATATGTCAAGTGTATAGTCAAATAGGAAGAGCCAGTTCCCTTTACTGGTGAGACAGAAACTTCTCCCTGTACTTGGGTATCATTCTTTTAGTACTAACTGTTGTCTCTGACATCACCTGGCCACCAATAAATGGCTTCTAGAGTATTTACCCACAGTAGTAACTGACAAGGGAACTCTTTTTGGAAATGCACAGAGATTACTAACAATCCTAAGGACTCAAAGTGCAATTTATGTCCCAGGTGAGATTCTGTGGTAATACCGGGGTGAGCCAAACCAGTTCAGTCACAGAGTGAGGCAGCAGCAGGGGCAACAGCATGCCCCAGCCTCTGCCCACAGCCCAGAACACGCTAGTTAACTGATGGTCTTCAAATACTCTGGCTAACAACCAACAAAGCTGGTTTACAAGAAACCACTGTATGGGAAAAGAGAGAGAAAAAAAGCAAAATGAACAGGGCATGATCAATCAAGGGTCAACATATAATCAAGGGTACAAGAAAAAAAGAGACCTAGGAAAGAGAAAACATGCAAGCCCAAAATCTCCATCCAGTGAATAAAAGCCTGGAGGTAACATAGAAAAAAAGGAGTGGGTGGGGGTGGGGAGTTGCATGTATAAGAAAGGCAATCCCCTTTCTTACCTCCATTTTCTTATTTGTATCAGTAATCATTTATACACAGACAATAGTTAAAACTTTAAGTTCTGAGAGCTAGCAAATGTGACTGTGACCCTTCCCAGCTGTTTCACCAAAACAGCACTGCTCAAAAATTCTCTGGTGTACTGTTTCTAATAAGAATATCAGCCTTCTCACCCTTAATATCCTACGATTAAGACAACTAGTCCTTTAAAAAGTGAAATGTTTCCTTTATTCTAATGCACTTTAAATGAGTGTGGAGTTTTTGAAATAGTGTGATTTTCAAGGCTGGGCATGGTGGTTCATGCCTGTAATCCCAGCACTTTGGGAGGCCAAGGCAGGCAGATCACCTGAGGTTAGGAGTTCCAGACAAGCCTGGCCAACATGGTGAAACCCCAACTCTACTAAAAATACAAAAATTAGCTGGGTGTGGTGGTGCGCGCCTGTAATCCCAGCTACTCGGGAGGCTGAGGCGTGAGAATCCCTTGAACCCAGGAGGCAGAGGTTGCAGTGAGCCGAGATCTCACCACTGCACTCCAGTCTGGGGGACAGAGCAAGACACTGTCTGTAAAAATAAAATAAAAAATAAAAAAAAAAACAAACAAACAGTGTGATTTTCTTGAATGGAGAGAGAACTTCCTGAACATGGAGCAGGTTAAAACTAGGAAAGGGGATGGCAACTCTCTGAGAGGGAACAGCTAAGAGATCAATGTAGCTTTCACGAAGGAACAGAGCTGTAAGGGTACATGTGAAGGAGGCATGCTTGTGATACCTAAGCATCAGTCCAATGCTTGGACCAAGGAGAAACCCACCTATAGGGAAGTTGCTGAAAGCATTTATTGGTGATGGCCCTTTTTGCAGCTCAGGTGTAGTGTGGGGCATGACATTGTCAAGGAAAGACTTCATGGCTGGCTGATGGAGTGGCTGCTGCTGAGATGGTGGAGTCTGCTGCTTCACCAACAGGTTTGGATCAAGTTGACGAGATTGTTGCATCATTTGCTGCTGCACGGTAAGAGGTCGACCCTTAAAACAATGAAATGATTGGAAAAAATTATTGGGGGAAAAAGTCTTTACAGAAAACTACATATTTCCTCTTCACTTTTGAATTCACTTTCTTCACAGCAGAAAGGTGAATAATCACTGTATAATGTTCACATAACTCATGGGCAACCAGCAGACTCAATGCACAACATACTTCATTATATCTTAGTAAGATTGTTTTAAGAAAGACACTTCTGAATCTCTTGCTAGAACGGAGATAAGCAGAGTTTATTAACACAAAGACAGCACCACGAGTTGGAGGGCTGGCTCTACCTGCTGGTCTTGCTGCGGCCGGTTCCCAGAAGGCACGCTTCTCTGACTCTGCGCCCTTTGCTGCTGCGCTAACAATCGCTAGAGGAAAGATGGCGAGAAGGTTGTTACTATCACACTATTACAAAGTCGTGTGCTTCCAAATTACGACAGCAGATGGACCTACAGAGGCATGATGTGATCTAGCCAATGCCAACACGTCTAGCCTAACAGTCTCTTCCTTGGACTCTCTGGCTTCTAGTCACTGCTGAAATTCAGTTTTTAGTTCAATCTAAACTTCCACTTCAATCAGAGAAACTTTTCCTAAACATCCAACTCTCACTAGCACCCCAGACTTGGCTGAGGCCTCCTCTCACAGCATTTTGCACTTCTTCAAAACATTCTTCACAGATGTTCATGATCTGTCTTCCCTGATAGACTGTAAGCTCCATGAGGGCTATGACTATGCCTGTTTTGTTTAGTGCACTATGTCCTGCACAGAGTCTAGTGTTTGGTATACAGAAGATGCTCCATAAATATGTACTAAGAAAGACTATGACTGCTTACCTGTAATTGGGAGATCTGAGAAAGCTGGTTTAGCTGGGATAGCTGGTTCAGCATGGCTACCTGTTGAGGGCCAAAGAGTGGATTCAGGCCACCGTTGTTTGGTGCATACTTCAGCAATGAAACTGGAACCTTAGGATCACAATGGTAAGTTAATGATCTTGATAAAGTAACTCCCACGCGCTACATGTACTGTGTGTTTTAAGCTGCCAATAGAGCAGTTAAATCTGTGGACTATTCATTGGCTTCATAGTCTTTGTCTCTGCCTTACTCACTGACCACTTGTACTTTTTCGTGGGTTAGGTAAAAGATGACAGAGATGCATCTTAAACTAGCCAATTTTACTTTGCTTTTGTACTCAAGAATGTTTTATAGAAGAAAATGGTAAATTTCAGATTTAAATTATCCTTGACTTATCCTTAATACAACCTTTTGTAATATTTAGAACTAGCTAAATCTCGAAGATGCCAATAAACATGATAATGATTAGTTAGCCATTTCATTCAAACATAAAATCACGCAAGATCCTTTTTGCAGGTAAACAGGAGAACGTAAGGAAAGCTTATTTACCTGAGGGGAGAGTAATGGAGGAGGCACTTGAGCACGGAGATTAGGCTGAGATGAACTAAGAGGTTGTGCTGGAGGCTGCTGCATGCCCCGGGGTTGTGCTGCTGTGTTTCCAACACCAAACATACTGGGATTGCCATTCTACAAAAACAAACAGCAACAAGTAACAGTGGGATTCTTTAGGGACAAACATCTCATTACCACATTGTACTATGATTTAAACACAGTAACTACATGTAAGAGAGATCTTATTACTAATACAAATCATTCAACTGAGAGCCTAAAATACACATCTGGACTTACCTGTCTAACAGAATTCAAGTTTTGCATACCCAGCCCTGCTATGGAGCCAAGGGCCTGGTTAGGTAGTGCACTATTTGAAGGGGGAAGCTTCATGCTTTGACTGGACATAAACTGCATGTTTTGGGATTCATCTGCTACAATGCCATCCTGATTGGACAGACAGAAAGATGTGCAACACCAGCCAAGCAAACAAGTGGAAGGGAGAAATCATTGCAGGAACAGAAGAGAAGTCACATGACATTCCAGCATCAACAGGAAACAGGTAGAAAACAGAAGAGATCAGATTAGTGTTAATTCTAGAGCACACAAAAAGAGCCAAACATATTTCATGGGATTAAGAAGAAAAATATAAATGCAACCTCTATGCTAAATTGAGACATAAAAAGACAGTGAACTTCAAAATCCAGTAATAAGATTTGGTACTGGATTGCAACACTTTATATTATATAAAATGTTTTAAAATATTAGTGTGAAAATTATGCTATTAAGTGTACTGGTTCATCAAGTCAGAGGTAAAAGTAAAACACCTTACCTTATCAAAATAAGGATTGCGCTCCATGGAAGACTCTTTGGAAATCTGAGGCCGAGAACCAGGGCCTTTCCCGACCGTTCGATTGTAATCACCAATATTTAGGCTATGTTTATCTATCTCCATTCGTTTGTCTTGTAACATTCCTAATAAATGCAGGAGACTATGTTATCAAACAGGAAGACAACCCAATTGGTTTCAGATAAATTTAAAACAAAAGCAAAACACTCATTTGGCTGAAATGACTTCAGCCAAGACAAAGATATGTGAAAAATACACCTGTATTTCATAAATTTTGCATTCCTCACAAGTCAAGTCGCAATTAGGAGATATTATTTTATTGAAATAATTAACTTGAAATAGACTAGTAAACAGAAGGTGGCTGGCTGATAACCTCACTTTTTTTTTTTGAGACAGTCTCACTCTATGGCCCAGGCTGGAGTACAGTGGTGGGATCTCGGCTCACTGTAATCTCCACCTCCCAGATTCAAGCGATTCTCATGCCTCAGCCTCTCAAGTAGCTGGGATTACAGGAGTGTACCACCACACCCGGCTAATTTTTGTATTATTAGTAGAGACGTAGGTTTCTCCCTGTTGCCCAGGTTGGTCTTGAACCCCTGACCTCAAGTGATCCAGCTGCCTCGGCCTCCCGAGGAAGTGCTAGGATTACAGGTATGAGCCACTGGGCCTGGACTCGTTTTAAAAGGACTCTTAGGCTACATAACTTAAGACAACTTTAGCCATCTCTAATCTGCTGAGTCTTATAATACAGGTAAGTTTCCATTAACAAGTAATAAAAACAATCAGCACCCACTGTGATAAACCACCATTTAATAAACGCTTGCTTTATGTCAGTCCTCATTATAAGCGCTTTTTTTTTTTTTTTTTTTTGAGAAGGGGTCTCACTCTGTCACCCAGGCTGGAGTGCAGTGGTGTGACCTCGGCTCACTGGAACCTCTGCCTCCCGGGTTCAAGCGATTCTCCTGCCTCAGCCTCCCGAGCAGCTGGGACTACAGGTACCCACCACCACGCCCAGCTAATTTTTGTATTTTCAGTAGAGACGGGGTTTCACCATGTTGGCCAGGCTGGTCTCAAACTCCTGACCTCAGGTGATCTGCCTGCCTTGGCCTCCCAAAGTGCTGGGTTTACAAGTGTGAGCCACCGCGCCCGGCCTATAGGTGCTTTATGTGTACTAATTTAATGCGTGTAACTATACTGTTATCGCCCGTTTAGCAGATGAGGAAATTGGATGCCAGACAGGGTAACATCTTCCCCTCTCTTAGGCTTTGCTCTGCCTGCTCCTCTCCTCATTCTGACTGCTGTGCAACAAAACATGAATTCTCTCATGGAAACTTTTTTCCTGCAAAATCTTCTTTGCTGGACATAGCCAGCTCCAGCCCAAAAGCTACTGTTCTATTTCAACAAATCTTTTAAAAGTGGACAATGTTCTCTACCACCCATCCTCACCACCTGCCCATTCTGGTTTCTCTTCCTCTATCCATGCTGAGCTCACCTGGGGTGCTTCTTCAATGCTGGAATACTCTGAGGCCGACACAGTAGACTCAGGGTCTCAGTCTTTTGACTCTCTCTGTAAACTTGCTTTCCTTAGACTTCATTCACTATCAAGGTATCAGCAGTCACTCCCATTCAAGTGATGCCCACATATAAACATGTAGCTTAGACTTCACAACTGAGCTTAGTCCCACATTTTTACCTGACTGCCATATCCACTTTGATGTCCCACTGTCACCTTTTTTTTTTTTTTTGAGACAGTGTGTGGCTCTGTTGCCCAGGCTGGAGCGTAGTGGCACAATCTTGGCTCACTGTAGCCTGTGCCTCCCCGGCCCAAGCGATCCTCTCACCTCAGGCTCCCGAGTAGCTGGGCCTAGAGGCATGCACCACCATGCCCAGCTAATTTTTTTATTTTTTGTAGAGACAAGGCTTCACCATGTTGCCCGAGGGGTCTCCAACTCCTGACCTCAAGTAAACTGTCCACCTCGGCCTCATGAAGTGCTGGGATCACAGGCATGAGCCACTGTGCCCGGCCTCATTGTCACTGTTAACACAGGTTTTCATCTCCCTATTTCTCATTCTCAACGTTTTCTCAATCCGCAAATCTCATCCATCATTTCTCTGCAACTGCTGTTCTTTGAGACGTCTGCCACCACCATAATACTTACCTTTACTACTCTCATTCCAGGTAAGTGGAAAAGGAAAACATTTTAAGAGAAGGAAAACAATTCTTAAAGTAGCTAAAAAGTACTGTTCCAGTCATGAATCTGGTATCTGAAAAATCCACCTTTCACACTTGTTTAAGAGCCCTCTCCTGAATGTCAATAATCCTTACCACAGCTCCCTCCTCTGTTCTCTCTCCCTGTTAAGATGTCATAATTCACTGATAACACCCAAGCTAGCCATTGTGAACTCTTTCCCCCACTCTCTCCATCTAATCCTGTAACCAATTCCAACCAGTTCTCCTAAGTCTCTCTCCAAGCTGTTCCTTCTTGATAATTCACATTATTTTTGCCTATGCAATTATCTTTTGAAAGACTAATAGCGGCTGAGCATGGTGGCTCACGCTTGTAATCTCAGCGTTTTGGGAGGCCAAGGTGGGCAGGTGTTCGCGACCAGTCTGCCAACATGGTGAAACCCCGTCTCTACTAAAAATACAAAAAATTAGCTAGGCGCGGTGGGGGGCGCCTATAATCCCAGCTAATCAGGAGGCAGAGGCAGAAGAATCGCTTGAACCTGGGAGGCAGAGGTTGCAGTGAGCCAAGATCACGCCACAAGACTCCAGCCTAGATGACAGTGCAACACTCCATCCCAAAAACAAAACAAAACAAAACAAAACAAAACAAACACCATTCCCCAACACTTCTGCATCCCTTTATAAAGAAAATGTCAAATGTGGCAATCTCCCCTTAGTCCACCAGTCCTCTAGTAAGGTCCATTAGTTACCAATGACTACCCCTGAGCTCCATTGTCAAATCCATTCCCTGACAACCAGTTTTCTCTTTTCAAAACTCTGTACTCACTTGGAATCTGAAAAATTATTCTACTCTAACTTGTCCCACTTCTGCTTAGGATCACTCCCCTAAATATCATTATTTCCCAGGACTGTCTTCGATCCATTATCCTCCAACTCTCTCTAGTCAAACTATTCCTATAGCTTTCACTATCACCCACATCTAATTAATTACACTTCATATCTCCAGCCCCATCTATTCTGAGCTTCACATCCGGATTTTCGACTGTCTACTGGACGTAATGTCAGATGGTTTTCAGAGCACCTTCAAACTTAGTATCTATCAAGCCTGCTATTCCTGTATTTCTCACCTCAAATAACGACCATTTATTGATTTATTGTCTCTCAGCTCCAAATTCACCCTTTTGACTGCTCTATGAAAATATATCTGGACCCTTTACAATTTTTTCCTTAGCCAGCTGGTACTGAGGCTTTGTCAGAAGAGGGCGCTGGAGAGACAGGGCAAGAGGAAAGGTGTTGCTTCCTGGGCCAGCATGTGCTCTTGGTAGGCATGAGCAGCCTTTGCAGCTTCTCCATTGCCTGGTGGGTCAGCAGCACTCAGTGGGAGCTTCTCCCAGCATTCCCAGCATTCCCCTCCCTCTCACATCACAGTTGTGCTGCAGTGTCTCCCATGAGACACCTCTCCATGAATGCCTTTTCCCAGCACCCTAGAGGGCGTATTTCCCACAGGTTCCACCAGCATGACACCATAGCAACTTCCACACCATGCAGTGAGCCATGAAGGAGGCAGAAACTTGTCCTAACAGGAAGAGGCTCACATTCTGGACATGGATTTTTCTTGCCTGTAAAGCTTCTGTCATCCACAGCCTCACAGAATACCTTCTCCACTATCGTGGCACTCCTCACAGCCATCATGTCTTACCAAGAAACTCATGTCACAGCAGAGGAAATACAGGACTGTGTTCATGCCCATGGAATTAACTGGTCTTAACATATATGCCATTGCCTGAAAGTAGCTAATCAATTAACAGGCTTACTAAAGAATCAGTTACAAAGCAAGTAGAGAGACAACATACTAAAAAGGTGGGCATCTGTCTTAGGAGGATGCAGTATGTGTCTCCCCAACTACCAGAATTTGTAGGTCTTGAGAATCAAAAGGTGAAAGTGGGAGCAGCTTCTCTCACAATTATGCCTAATGGGCCACTTACAGAACACTCGTTTCCTGTTCTGACAACTGCTGATTTAGAGAACTTAGTCCTTGAGAGAGAAAACGCTTCCAACAAAAACCACAACAATGGTTCCACTGCCCTGGAAGATAAAGACTGCTACAGGGACATTCTGCGCTCCTTGAGATATGAACTAGCAGGCAAAAAACAAACAAACAAACAAACAAAAAACGACTCTACTGGCTGGGGTAACTGATGTGATTACAAAATGAAGGCAGTGAAGACTGTCTGGAATCCAGGGGATTCTCTGGGATGCTTCTCAGTATATCCATACCAAGTAGTGACAGCCAATGAAGAACAACGGTAACCATAAAAGGCAAGGACAACTGGGGGCTCAGATTCTTTGGGAATGAAGGTTTGGGTTACTTAACTCCAGCAGCTAGAGAACCAAGAGCAGCTGAGGTTCAACCTGAAAGTGAGGTAAGTACAGAATATGCAGTGAAGGGAGGAAGGCACAGATACCAATGATGGCTTACGAGCAATTATGGAAATAACAAAGGTAGTAGATTTGCATATTTTCCTATTGTTTGTCATATGGATGTGTTAATTTGTATAGGCCAAGCATTTTCTTTCCTGCTTTTACCTTATTCAGAAGTTATTAGATGTTAAGTTTTATTATTCAGTCTTTAGGTAACAAACTGTGACTGAATTTCTGGGGTGATTATATAGCCAGTGATGAATACAATGACCCTTGGGGCTGTTCATCTCCTCAGTTTAGAGAGAGGATGAACACTTCTTCACTTGCAAGAAAGTAAGTTGTATCTTGTTAAGCAGAAATGCAGAGTTGCATTGCCATTGTACTGGACAAATGTGTGTAGAAGAGTACATATGGAAGGTGAGCAGTCAAAGGGTTGGGATGAACTGTGCTGATTACTGACTTATTTCCTCTAGCTCCAATTTCACCCTTTTTGATTGCTCTGTGAAAAAAAAGGGACTTAGGCCCTTTACAGATTTTTTTCCTTTGCCAGCTAGCACTGACCTTTTTTAAGTAGAAGGTGCAAGAGGAGAGGTTTGGTTTCCTAGTTCTGGTCTGCTCTCTCCTGCAGCACGGCAGCTTTGCCAGCACCTACAACGCTCAACTCACCAGTGGCTGGCAGCATCTATCAGCATGCCCTCTGGTAGCTCCGTAGTGAGTGCCTCCCATGAGACACCGCTCCTGTGCCCTGCCTTCACTGGTATCTTAGAGGGTGGATCTCCTGCACTCCTACTGACATGGCACCATAGTGAGAGGAAGGCGGCTCTTTCTTGGGCATGCTACGTCAGTCCTCACTGAGTGACTTCCCCTTGTAACTGCTACTCCAATTCCTTGTTAAGGTCTTGTATATTACATTTTTCCTGTTAGCAAATTACTGCATAGTTTCTTCTGACTGGACTCTGATTAACACAATAGCACTACCATCTATTAAACCATCCAGGTAAGTTTTCATCACCCTCTCTCCCTCAACCTGCCTAACAAATTGGTTCAAACTGGTTATCAACTTTTATTGATTCCAATTCCTACGTCTCCATGGAATTAAGATCATTCGTATCTACTCTCTTGGTTTGGAGCTTTGAAAATAATTACTGGCTACTGCAGCAAGTATCTACCTGGTTTTGCTATCTTTAGTATCTTTTCTCTATCTCCTGCTGCCAATGTTTTCCATCCTAAGATATTTTCAATCTATAACCAAGATGATTTTTCTAAAACATAAGTCCAAACCATGTCATTACCCTGCTTCACTTTAATCTCATATTTTAAGAATGAAGTTCAAATTCCCAAGCTCCTCATGACTCAGCACCAACCTGGTTTTCTAGCATCTTTATCCAGGTGATCTTTCACCACCACCACCACGGCTGCCCCCACCAAAACTGTTTTTCTTGACTTGTTCTATGGAACTACTTACCATTCCTCCAGTATAGTTTTAAGAGTCTGTCATACGTCTAGGCCCTTCTACATGCTGTTCCTTAATCAAGAAGACCAAACCCTCCAATCTGAGTAAATCCCTCTTGGCAGGATTATGTGTAAAGTAATCAGACTAATAACACCACTGTAATCAGACTAATAACACCACTGATGTGCACAGTGGTCTGCACTTCCAAGGCACATGCACTCATTTAACCACAGCATGTATACGTCTATTGGAGAGCACAGCCTCACCACCATCCTGATCTACGTCAGGGCTCTTTCAGCAGAATCATGTCATGGATGTGCTTGTCCCTCAATAAGGAATACAAACAGATTTAATTTTCTCTTACCTCCAGAAAGGTCCATTTTATTGCTTTGTACATTTTCCTCTGGTGAGTCTCTCTGAAGAAAGAAAATGCAGCATGTTAGCAGACCTTAATTTATCAATGAAAACAAATAAAAATGAAGAATTTTACTGTATTTCATTATCTGAAAAATTCAAGTGGATCATAAAATTCATTTTTCACTGCCTAATGTAATTTTTTAAATGTTTTAAAATAAAACATGTGACTGAAGTTCTTAGCTAAAACCATAAAAATAAAGGTTTAAAGGCCAATTTTACTCCAACATCAAGCACATTCCTAAGGACTCGAAGATGAAAAATAATTCTTGAAAAGAGTGAAATCGAGATAAACCATGGAGCACCATTAAAAGAGGAAGGAGCTGCTAAGAAAACATACTTACCGAAAAACTGATATTTGAAAACTGTTTAACAAATGGATTTATCCACGCTTCTTCTTGTTTGTTTCCACCTTTCATCATTCCCTTTGTAAAATAAAAGAGTAGAAAAGATGCCATGGCCATCTCTGTTTATCTGGGTATAGTGACGGGTTAATAAAACTTAAGACAATCCCCAATTCTCATTTTTAGCCAATAATTTCTCCTCCAATCAACTCTTATCAGAGTTGTTAATAATTAAAAATCAACTTATTTGATTTTCAACTTCCTTTGCTCCAGTCCTCTGGTATAGCTGTAATGTACAGAGAAATCTCTAAAGGCAAGCAGTCAGAAGGAAAAAACAGAAGCAAAAGGCCTCGATGACCCAAAAATACGAAAACAGGGCCTCTGAGTAACGGAGAACTGTTAAGAGTAGTTATAATTTAGATTTCTGGAATTCTCACTCCAAACCAAAGTAAAAAAATAGTGACTAGGTCCTCAGGTTAGTCCCAAGAAGCCAATTTAACCCATAATTTAATTATGCTATGTGCATCCTACTGAAAACACACCATGTTTTCCACAGGAAAAGTATTTTAAAATTTCAATTTGTGTTGCCAAGAACACAACATCTCTAGCAGAATTGAACCTGGGATTCCTCCTGCTTAGGGCTGGCTGGCTCTCTGCAGCTGGTTGGGGTATGAGTGGTATGGAAACTCCATTGAGACCTGAGTTAAGAGGATGAAGGGTCTGTGATTAGCAGTCTGGTAGACAAGGAGGCTGGAAGCCATAGAGACCTATGTCTCTCATATGGTCTCACAGAACCATCCTCAGTTTGTTGCCTTCATCACCCTTTCCCATTGCTACTGTCTATTCCTTCTGACTGTGAAACAGAACACAGCTTCACAACTTCCCCCAAATGCAGGTCTCTGAAGCAAGCACCTAACTCTCTCCACAGATTCTGAAGTTGCCTTTGATCCCTTTTCCTTTCACCCCATCCATCCCCATACCTAATTAGTTGCCAAGTTCTTCTGTCCTTTCTATTCTGACTGAAATGCCTCTCAAATTAGTCCCTTCCACTATATATCCAGTCTCATTTCCCAACTCAAGCCCTCCTTTCTAGCTTGAATTAACACAGATGCTCCCTGAGATCCCTAACTGTGGTCTCCCCTCTGTGCCAATTTATATTTCATACTATCATTGACTAAAATTAATAATTTAAAAACCCCACTGATGTTGTTTTCTACTCAATTTCATTGGTTCCATATTTTACACAAAATAAAGTTCAAATTCTTGGCATGCTATTGAAGACACTACAATCTGCCTTAACTACAGAGCCAGATCTCCTGTCACTTCTTCCTAAAAATTCTACATTTTAGTTATGTTGGGCTACTATGTTCCTTAACACATCCCATCCCAAGCATCTTCCAAATTCAAGCTGACACTTCTATGAAGCTCTCCTAATGCCCCGTACTAGACTGTGAGCTCCCGAAAGGTGAAGCTCGTATCTTAGTGTATTTGAATCCCCAGCACCAAGCACAGTACCTGGCACACAGCAGAGGCTAAATAAATGTTTGCAGTTGCTTTCTAAAGATTTTTACTAGTAGAAACAAAGGAGAAAGAGTAAAAAGGCTACACACCCTTTCCCTTCTCCTTTTTTTGCCACTCAGACCCTGTAAGGAAAGACAAAGTCACAAAACAGCACGGTCCAGTGGGAAGAACACAGGGTTTGGAATTGGAAGACCTAAACTTAAGTCCTTACTCTGTCACTTACTAGTTATTGCAACTTTGGGCAAGTCACCACCTTTTCCAGTCTCAAATTCCTCATTAGTATCCTATCTTAGAAGGTTGTGAGGATCAAATGACTTATGTAAAACATGTAAAAGCATTTCATAAGCTATATGGCAAGGCAATAGGCAAATTCAGCCAAATGAAAAATTTTAAAAATGAAAATGGCAGGTCCTAGACTTAGAATCCCAGGATTAAAAGTGAGGAACCTTGGCAGTTACCTAGTCCAACTATCCACTGGTATTTGCCTTCTAAGGTCTCTCAAAAGGTAATCATTCTCAAGTTGGGTGGGATAGGATGTTATGTCAGAACCACCTGGGAGACTGGGCACCTATTTTGAAAATGGTAGTTCCCAGGAAGATCTGACGCCAGCCCCCAGTGCCACCTCTTACGAACCAGTGCTCTAAATCAGTGCTTCCCAAACCTGGCTCTGCATCAGAGACATTTGGGGAGTTTCTTCAGGATAAGAAACCTGGTCCAATTTCCAAAACTTCAGTAGACCTGAGGTACAGGAAGCTGCACTTTTAACAAATGCCATGGGATTCCGATGTACAGCCAGCTTTAGGAATATGATTTGTCCACACATAAAAGCCAAATCAAGCTCAGATCATTCCTAGGGATTTCTGTCACAGGACCTTTTGGGATGGGATAGGGACAAAGATGACAGGTGAATAAGGAGGATGGTGACTCTGGGTAAGGGGGTGGCGGGGGACTCCAGGTGAGGAGGTGAGATGGGAGATGAACTGGCAGTGGGATGGAAAGAGTCAACATGGAGATTTGCTCTTCTCTTCATCCTCACCGCTGCAGGCACCACCCTAGGATGAGGGGTTGTCCCAGGCAGCACTGGTGGAGGGGGAGGAGGAGAGAAATCCCAAGCTGTAGCAGTGGGGAGAAAGGAAGTTCCTGTGGTCTTATGTTTCTCTAGGTGGCTGCCCATACAAGTGGCTATACCTAAGGTGGGGGCTGCCTGGACTGTACTGACTGCCAGAAATGGGCAGGCAAAAAATTAATTTTCTGTGGGTAAACTACCTTTGGAATTTAAAGTTTCAAGGGCTTTGCCCTTGAAATGTTTACCTTCGATGACATTTTCTTTGTATATGGTGGCCAATTTAAAGATGAGTTAAGCTCTTGAGACGAATTACTATTCCACATTCCAATCTCTACATCCTCTTCCTCTTCCCAGCCAGTGGGGCGATTTCCAGGCAATGGCATATCATCACCACACCAGCCATCTTGCATAGATTTTGGCCCTGATTGTGGATTTGTGATATAAAGAGAAACATACTTTAATAAAAGAATTCCTTCTGGAGAATAAGCATACATTAAAAATTGGGTAGAGAACCTAAGAAAACACACACGTACACACTTATTTCCCTTCCTGCATCTGCACAGAAGGAATGTATGTTTTATATTGAGCTAAAAGTTCCACGAAAAAGAATACATTCTTGGCCAGGCACGGTGGCTCACGCCTGTAATCCCAGCACTTTGGGAGGCCGAGACGGGCGGATCACAAGGTCAGGAGATCGAGACCATCCTGGCTAACACGGTGAAACCCTGTCTCTACTAAAAATACAAAAAATTAGCCGGGCGTCGTGGCGGGCGCCTGTAGTCCCAGCTACTCGGGAGTTGGGAGGCTGAGGCAAGAGAATGGTGTGAACCCTGGAAGCAGAGCTTGCAGTGAGCCGAGATCACGCCACTACACTCCAGCTTGGGCAACAGAGCGAGACTCCGTCTCAAAAAAAAAAAGATAAAGAAAAAGAACATATTCTTATTTTAAAATCTAATAAAACTCCTCCATGCCTTTAACAAATTATGGTTCTTAAACATGGACAATGGTAGCACTCTTGTTTGTACCCACTTAATAATCTGCATAGTGACACACAGGACGAAGATGATGAATGAAATTTGAAATAATCAGTTTTTGTATATATTTTCAGGGAGAAGGGCCAGAGAGTATTTCAAAGTCATAAGCAGAAAGCATCTTATCTTCACACATGGCCCTTGGGATTCCTATAGGGTACTTTGTACATAACCTATAGGATAATGACAATGTTAATTTGAATCTTGGGTCTTTTCTGAACTATGCTAATTGTCTGTAACTTTCAGGGAATCATCTGACAGTCTGAATATGTGTCCTCATGGCTACACTATTTAGCCTCTCAGGCTGGATGGCATGAAAGTTGCTAGTAGACTCTTCCTAGATAACCTAATTTGGTAAAATATAATTTAGATTTGATGAAGTATATGCAAATTAACAGTTACAATTCTAAGAAATATGAGAAAAGAGGAAAATTCAGAAAGAGAATAAACCATGTTACAAAATCAAAGAGCAAAATACTGAACATCATCTATCGTGCCATATTATATGATTATAAATAACACAGAAACCTTATCTAATTATTTAATTATAGTCAGTGAGTGATCACCACTGCTACACAACAGCTACCAGGCATTGTCAATAACTTACCAGATTTGCTTAATGCTTGTGGACCAACAGAGCTGGAGCCCCACGTGGATGTGCTGGATGCCGCAGCAATGGGTTCCCCCCAGCTGGGACCACTGTCTATGGGCTTACCCCATGCTGAAGTACCATTATCCACAGTTGTGGCTGGAGTAGAAGGCTCCCCCCAGGGCTCACCCCAGCCTTTAGAAAGTGTGGGAAAAGAAGTCATCAGCATAGAAGGTAAGGAGGTGCAGTGGAATAAGGGACAATAAAGAATACTTAGGGACCAAGGATGAAGAACCTCATGTTTATGTACAGAATAATGATACTGTGATAGGCAAAAAGATGGCATCGTTTTATGTTAAAAAAAAAAAAAAAAAAAAAGACAAACTATTTCCCATTAATATAACTATAAGGTGAGAATTTTTTAAACTTTTTTCATAATTACCCTCTAGGCATAGAGCTGATTTTTGCATAGTTATGGGAAACCACTCTCCTTTGAGCATCAATTTAATTCCTGAAAAAGTCAAGTCATTCTAAACCAAACCTTGTGAACTGGAGCAGGTGATAAGCTGGGTGACAGTGTATGTATAACATTTGTACCAGCTGGGTACAGTAGCTGATGCCTGTAATCCCAGCACTTTGGGAGGCCGAGGCAGGTGGATCAGCTGAGGTCAGGATTTTGAGACCAGCCTGGGCAACATGGCAAAACCTGGTCTCTACTAAAAATACAAAGATTAGCTGGGCATAGTGGCACACATCTGTAGTCCCAGCTACTCAGGAAGCTGAGACAGAAGAATTGCTTGAACCTGGGAGGTGGAGGCTGCAGTGAGCCAAGATCATGCCACTGCACTCCAGCCTAGGTGACAGAGCAAGACTCCATCTCCCCCCACCCAAAAAAAAAAAAAATTGTGGCACAAGTGTACCCCTTCCACACCACATACACTGGAAAAACAACGTACTACCCAGCTAACAATAATGGGTCACCTACTTTTAACACATGCTGAACAATCCTTATTTTAAAATCTGAAGCATTAGGCTGAGGTTGTCCAAAGCAAAAAAAAAAAAAAAAAAACACCACTACCACAACAAAAACAAAGCCATAAACGTTTCATTAAGAAAAAATAAAAGCCAACAGGCTTCATCTTAGATACATACTTCTTCCTTTTAAGAATCAAACCTAAATTAATCCAACAAACTATACTTAGACTGAAAAAAAAAAAAAAAAATTAGGCGCCGAAAAGTTAGCTCATGAAAGCACTCCCATATCCACTTCCAATGAGACTATTAAGTCAATAAAATTTTTATTAACAAAGACAATGTAGCCAATCACACTTAATGAAAATGTTGTCGGGATAATTTGCAGAGATAGGAATTAGTTCATTGTAAGAGAGGAAAGTAAGGATATACTAGAAAGGTATTATCAAACATTTTTAATACACAAACATATATACTGTATCTAAGTAGAGCTGGATTTCTCACCTACTTAAAAAAAATCCCTTCTAGAGCCAAATATAGTACCTAACGTTTAGAGAGTACTGTATTTATGAGATACCTGTTTTATTTCTGGAGATATTTTAGTCAAATAATAAAACCACAAGGCCTAACTCAAAACAACTTAGAGAAGTGTACAGCATTTCCACTTGACCGCCCTTGTCCAATTCACCTTCTGTTGCATTTCTAATAGAGAATGAAGTGTGCAGGACTCAAACAACACTGCCAAAAGTGGAGCTCTGTTCTCTGGTGGTAAACATCACCCCTATAATTTTCTTCAAGTTGCTTCTGGATTACAGTAAGGAACAGCCTTTATGTACATATCCAAGCACTTTGTTATACAAATCTTATAACAACAGTAAGTTAAAATAAGGCTTGATTTCATAAAATAGAAACTTACCAGAGCCACTGCTTGCCTCTTTGTTTGAGATGGCACTTGCAGGCGTTAGCAGCTGATGTACCTGTGCTTGCTGGTCTGAACGGCTGTTGCCATTTGGGACGTTTTTGTTCCACATGTTCACATTTTTGTAGTTGTATTTGCTTGGATCTCCCCAAGCTGAAGTTCCATCATCAATCTCCATTTTGCGACGTATAGATTCTGGGGATGGTTCCTCCCAGCCTGTGGGTTCTTCTTCTTTTGTTGGGGCTGGTATAGGTCCCCCCAGCCAGCCTGTACCAGGAGGTTTGCCTGTAGCTGGTGGGATTCCCCAAGATCCAACAATGTCTTGTTGCTTGTTCCAGTCTGGAGAACTGACTGGCTTTGACGAATCTCCCCAACCTAGAGACTGATTAGACTTTGGAGGGTCTCCCCATCCCTGGGAAGGAGTAGGTTTAGAAGATTCATCCCATCCTGATGAATTATTTGGATTTATGTTGTTTCCCCAAGTAAAAGAACTAGTTTTACCAAGTTCGTTCCAACCGGAAACGGACCTGTCGCTGTCACTACCTCCTGAGCTGGATTTCTTATTGGCCTCACCCCAATGGTTACTCCTTGAAGTTTCTCCCCAGTTATCACTGGCAGAAACAGACCACCCTTGGCTTGATTTCTGTCCATCACCCCATCCCTGTTTGTTCTTTTGCGAGTCATTCCATGCAGCCTTCTCCTCTTTGCAATTCCCCCACTGATTGCTCTTGACCATTCCTGTAGCAGCAGAATCATCTTCCCACCCCCCCTGGCAGTTTGAGCCTTTGGAATCTCCCCACCTCAGAGCAGGTTTGGGATCGCCCCACCCTGATACAGATGAGGTATCATTACTATTAGGGCTAGTCTTATCTATACATGCCCCTGAGTTAAAAGTCTGTGTTGCAGAGCTTCCCCAGGCCTCTGTCCCATTGTCAGTCTTTCGTTCCCCTCTAGGTGATGTTTCTGTATCCCAGGCAGTATTCTGCTTAATAGGAGTCTGTCCCCAACCAGAGTTGGACAGGACACGTGGATCTAAGTCAGTTCTGTTTACAATGCTTTGGAGTAATGTGTGCTGATCAATTTTTCTTCTGTCTCTACTCTGACTTTCTCCAGTTCCTTTTTCCTCAAGGCGTCCAGTGCTTTCTGTACTACCATCGCTCTCCACTGTACCTCCTGTTTTGGCCCACACACTGCTTTGCTCATTTGTCTGAGATGTGGCAGAACCCTGATCCTCTTCCTCAGTAGATTTCCATCCATTTGTAAACTTCTTACCATTGCCATTTGCACTGTCATTGGAATGCTGATTGCTAGGCAGTTTGTTCCACTCACCGCTGGGTAAATTAGTGCCAGTGTTTTGTGCAGGGGTTCCCCATCCTCTTCGACTTCCTCCAGAATTCGCGCCATTTCCACTTCCCCATGATGCACTCTGGGAATTTGCTGCACCAGATTCCCACACACCACCTCCTTTGTTTGTGTTAACTTGAAAGTTAGTGCCCATAGGCCCATTTACGCCAGGCTGCATTAGAGTTGCATTCACAGTGTCACCATTAGCTTGGCCATTAGGGCCTGAACATTTGTCTCCAGAGTAATTAGAACCATAGGCACCCCATGTAGTACCATAAGAGCCTCCACTTTTTGACTCTCCATTGCTAAGGTGAGAAAGGGAAGTGCCATTCATACCTGATGGAGCCTGCATCTGAGGATGATTCATTGTGCTCACACGCCAGGCCCCTGTATTACTACTAGGCAGCTCATTATTCTGCACTGAACCGGAGTTTGGTAAACTAGAGGTCATAAAGTTAGTAGTGTTATTTGGTCCAGTCATTTCAGTGGTAATATTCTGAGGTTGACCACTGAATGAAACCTTCTGTGTACCACTTACTTCAGATTCACAAGTTTCCTGAAGGCTTCCCCAGGTACCATGGGTAGAACCACCACTCACTTTAGAGTTAATACTCTGATTGTTAGGCATCTGGCCTATAGTACTGCACTGAATATTGATGCCAGAACTACCACTCCCTACAGGCCCTTTTAGGGCAAGTCCATTGTTCTCTAATACTGGCCAGGCACCATGGTTGCTAGCTGAATTCAAAGTGCTTGGATTTAACCCTCCATTTGATGAAGAACTTACAGTGCCCCAAGCATTCATTCTATTGTTGCTACTTTCAGATTTGCTTTCAGGAGCATCCACAGAGACCTGACATGTGCTTATTATGGCTCCATGGGAAAAACCCCATGGCCCAGTACTACTTCCATGGCCCACATTATTGCTGCTGCTACCAACTACAAACTTGTTTTGGGAACCAAGTCCAGTGCTATTCCGAAGGCCATCTTTTTCACCACCTGTGTTCCCTGAAGCCATGATAGTGATGTTTCTTTCCGACTCAGAACTGGAGGCAGAATCAGCATCCATACATTCTGAAGCCAACTCCGAATCACTGCCAGGGACTGAGGGCCATGCTTCTTTTTCCGACAAGTCACTTACAACAGCATTCTTACAGTTTGTGCTAGAATCGCTTGTAGAAGACACAAGTCCCCGCTGGGAATTTTCATAATGGGATCCTGAAGTACTGTGGTTTATATCTAGGATAAAGGAGAAGTACAACTATTTATAAAAAGTGTTAGGCCATTTCAAAATGACACTAAAATTTAAGAAAAATGACGAATATGTTATAAATAAACGTGGCTCCTCAAATTTAACAATGGTAGAATGGTTACAAGGGCACTGGTTATCTTCTAGCCACCAACTTTCCATGTTCAACTGATATTATCCCAAGATCCTAGAGGACACAACAGCCCCTTGATAAATACTTGCTGAATGAATACACTGTTAACATGTCAGCAAATAAAAGAATTTTGGAGTCAAGAAGGTCTAGGAGGCAGCTACACATTAGGATAACAGAACAACCCAGGTGTAGAAGCCTGACATGGAAAGATGGGTAAGGAGAAGTGAATAGCCAAAATTTGATAAAATGTATCAGAAATATTTTTCCACCCTGTTTTCTACTATAGCTTTTCCAAACAACTGTTTTGGGCATTGTAACAAGTTTATAATTTTTTTGTTGCTGTTGTTGAGAAAGAGTCTCGCTTTGTCACTCAGACTGGAGTGCAGTGGCCGGATCTCAGCTCACTGCAAGCTCCGCCTCCTGGGTTCACGCCATTCTCCTGCCTCAGCCTCCCGAGTAGATGGGACTACAGGCACCCGCCACCTCGCCCGGCTAGGTTTTTGTATTTTTTAGTAGAGACGGGGTTTCACCGTGTTAGCCAGGATGGTCTCGATCTCCTGACCTTGTGATCCGCCCGTCTCAGCCTCCCAAAGTGCTGGGATTACAGGCTTGAGCCACCGTGCCCGGCAATTTTTTTTTTTTTTTTTGAGATGGAGTCTCACTCTGTGCCCAGGCTGGAGTGCAGTGGTGCAATCTCAGTTCACTGCAAGCTTCGCCTCCCGGGTTCATGCCATTCTCCTGCCTCAGCCTCCCGAGTAGCTGGGACTACAGGCGCCGCTATCATGTCCGGCTAATTTTTTTTTTGTATTTTTAGTAGAGACGGGGTTTCATCGTGTTAGCCAGGATGGTCTCGATCTCCTGACCTCATGATCTGCCCGCCTTGGCCTCCCAAAGTGCTGGGATTACAGGCGTGAGCCACTGTGCCCAGCCACAAGTTTATAAAAATTTTTAAGAATGGTAAGAATTTGAAAGCTTTTATCATTACATTCCATTTCATTAGTATCCATCTTCAACCTGAAATATTACATCCAAGTAACAGTATTTTCAGTTCAACTTCCTCTCATAAAATTTTCTTAATTTACCTTCCTAACCACATTTATATAAAAGGACAGAAAAGTAATGGTTGTTATGCTGAAGATCACAGAATTATTATGATCTCAAAAAATCAACTGCTGACACTGGAGCCATTTGATGACCAGTCATACAATCCTATAATCTTGGACTTCCTGCTATGTATTACTATCTAGCTATTTTACCACAGGTAGGGTGGTTCTAGCGCTTCTGATAGTTCCCCATATTCTTAACTCTCACTTGGTTTAAGGATCTAGTAGGTAGACATTCCTCAGAGGCATTAACCTGCATAAGCCATGTGCATTTCAACTGCCTTGAGGGGCAGGTTATATTGCAGTTTTCTACTAAAGTACCAATCAGAATCACATGTAGTGCTTTTAAATATACATGTTCAAGGCAATGTCCCAGACCTAATGAGCCAACCTTCAGGGGTTGTAGGCCTAGGAGATAAACAGAAGTCACTATTAAGGTGATTTGCTAAAATGGAAAATCAGATTCAATTTGCATCATTTTCTCTCAAAGCACAATCATTAAGCAGCAAAAGATGATGAGCTGGAAAGAGTCTGGAAAAGTGACTGGAGAGAGACCAGAAATGATATAAATTCATCAAATAATATACTTTAAAGTTCCATAGATGACTCTAATTTCCACTCCCTGTTTAAGAATCATTTCTTTAATGATTCCTAAAGCTGCCAAAGAAGATTTGCCATCTTTCAGTGCCCATGAGAATTTCTCATGAAATAAAGGGTAACAGTAAGTCAGACTCACTGGGTATAAGCAAATCAACACACTAACATCTGCACTGGCACCATCAACAAATGTTTGGCATTCAGGACTATGTCTGACAACTTTCTGTGCACTTTTATCACCGAATCCTTATAGCTACCCTAGAGGATAGGCATTACCTTCACTTGCAGATGACAAAACTGAGGTTCACAGGTTAATTTATGGAAAATTAAGTGAGAAAGGCAGGATTCATCAGAATCCTTCATAAAGCAAGGTGCCTAAGAACGTAGACAGGACTCTAGAGACACCCAGATTCAAGTCTGAACTCTGTATGACCAAATCTGCAAAACCAGAATATAAACAATACTTCTTAACCTGGTTCTTTTGTTAATTGTATCATATGTAAAGCATTAAGCTCAGTGCTGGCTGCAAATAGGTACCTTGTTAGGGTCAATTTGACATAGTGATTAACAGCACAGATTGGGTAGCCAGAATGCACGGGTTTAAGAGACACTCCTACCATTTACTAGCTGTGTGACCACAGTAAGATCCTCAATCTCTGTGCCTAGTTTCATTTCTGAAGTAGAAATAGTATTAGTACCAGGCCAGGCACAGTGGCTCACCCCTGTAATCCCAGCACTTTGGGAGGCCACGGTGGGTGGATCGCGAGGTCTGGAGTTCGAGACCATCCTGGCCAACATGGTGAAACCCTGTCTCTACTAAAACTACAAAAAATGAGCCGGATGTAGTGGTGGGCCCCTGTAGTCCCAGCTACTCGGGAGGCTGAGGCAGGAGAATCGCTTGAACGGCGGAGGTGGCAGAAGTTGTTGCAGTGAGCCGAGATGGCGCCACTGCACTCCAGCCTAACGACAGAGTGAGACTCCGTCTCAAAAAAAAAAAAAAAAAGAAACAGTATTAGTATCAATCTCACACAACTGTGGTGTGGATTATTAAAACTGTACTGGCCAGGCGCGGTGGCTCACGCCTATAATCCCAGCACTTTAGGGGGCCAAGGTAGGTGGATCACAAAGTCAGGCGATGTTAATCATCCTGGCTAACATGGTGAAACCCCGTCTCTACTAAAAATACAAAAAAATTAGCCGGGTGTGGTGGTGGGTGCCTGCAGTCCCAGCTACTCAGGAGGCTGAGGCAGAATGGCGTGAACCTGGGAGGCAGAGCTTGCAGTGAGCCAAGATCGCCCTACTGCACTCCAGCCTGGGCAATAGAGCATGGCTCTGTCTCAACAACAACAACAACAACAACAAAAAAAGGTACTCTGTACTATATCTGATCCATATTAGGTGCTTAATAAATGAGGTCTATTATCACTGATAAATGCATGCTAATGATTATCATCTTTTAGTCCTATCTCCAAAGCATGTTTTTCATTCCACCACGACTCCCTTATGAAGAACAAAGTGAGAAATCATATAACTTCCTTACTTAAAATTTCCACTTAGATACCTAAATATTCTACCTTAGATACCTTATCTTAGATATCTTAGATATTCTGAAAGCAGAATCTTCTAATTCTGGATTTACACTCCAACAGAGTGTAAACTCCTCTCCTCCCAAAGGGGGCAAAAACTGCTTCTTTAAAAGTTTTTCTCATCTCAGTAAGTTTCCTAAAACCTAGAATTTATCTTCTATTCCTCCCTGTGCACAGCAAATCCAAAACAACATCAAGTTTAAAATCTATACACCTTTTCTCCAAATCTAAGACAGTCCAGCCCTTGTCACTTTCTTTTCCTGAACTACTGCAAACGTATTTCTGCTGCCACTATTTGCATGCATAAGAGTGTGTGTGTGTGTGTGGCCACTTTCATAAAGCAGCAGTAAGAAAACAAGATTGGCCATCGAAAACAAAACTACCCAAATGGAAAATAAGAAATGGATCCAGAATTCAAGAGTGAAACACCAGAAGCATTCCCATAATGACAAGAAAAAGACAAAAATACTAGTCATCAATACTACTATTCGGTCCAGTGTTAGAACTACTAACTGAAAAAATATGACTCAAAAATGGGAGGTAAAGATAATAGAGGCAAAAAAGATCAACATGAAAAAACAATTTCCTTTCTACATGCCAAAAATAATCCAGGAGAAAATGTTGATGGGGAAAGATCTTAATCATTAAGAGCCATAAAGTAACTGGAATAAAGCTAGCAAAAATATTTAAAGTTGTATATGATTATATTTTATTGCAGGCCATAGAAGACACTTGAAAGTAAAGACACTTGTTACTGGATATGAAGATGTAACAATGCTCTAAGTTTAATTCAATTATAAGAAATTGCTAACAAGAGTCTGTAAAAAATGATTATAAGTGATTTAAAAATTCTGTAAAGCAAATGGGAGAGTAATCCTCTAAAAGATTTCAAAAAGAAGAGGTTGTGAAGAAGAGAATCTGCATTATCAGGAAATAGTTGAACAGCACTGTACTGCCAGACAGCACTTTGACTGAACAGAAAAAGTAACCCAGAAACAGATCCAAGTATATGTCAAAGATACTATTTCAAGGATTAGCATTTTAAATCAGTGGGGAAAGGGGATATTCAGTACTTGAAAACTTTTTAAAATGAGATAATATATTTTAAAGAATCCCAAATGATTAAAACATTAAAAGATGAAACCATGAAGCTATCAATGAATAAGTATTTTTTATACATAAACCATATGTGACAGATTTCACTGTTAATGTTAGAATACATCAAAAGTAAAGCAAAAAAGCAAACACTTGAATATATTCTGGAAATGAGTTCTATCACCTTTAATGTTAGTGAAAAATGTTCTCAGATTCTGGTCATGACCTGGTTTGGTGGCTAAGTTTGTCTTTTAAAATATTATTAACTAAAATCCCATTTTTAATCTAGAAGCCACTTGATCAAAACCTAAATTAAAGATTATTTTAAAAATTGGGTTACCAATGGTGAGTTACAAGGCATTCTGGGTTATAAAAAAGGTTTTAGTTTAGGGAAAAAAAATTCGTTTGGCATTCTAGCTCATGCCTGTAATCCCAGCACTTTGGTAGGCCGAGGCGGCAGTACTGGTTGGGTCCAG